ATGAGATCATTTTAACTTTTGACTCAAGGCCCAGATGCATTTTTCAGGTCCCGTGTGTTGTGGAAGTTTTCCATTAAATAAAGCCTGCAGATGAGCGGTGAGCAGTAGCTAACATTCTAGAGCAGACAACCAAACTTGTGGAGAGCCTACATGACCGCGGGGCAGACGGTCAGCAGAGTCTCCCTGAGCCTAACACGGCTCTCAGTTAAATACATTATTCAGGAACAAAAGGCAGTACACAGCTGTTTCTGAATTTTTTAGCTTCTTTTAATAATGCTATCACAGATGCGAGGGCTGCATATTTCTCACAAAGAGCGGAGGTAATCATAAGGTGTTATTCAACACCATTAGTGACATGTTACTCCTGCTCTACCTGCAGCCCCTATTTCCTCTAATGAAGATTGTGAAAATTTTCTGTCTTTTCTGCTTGCAAAAATTAATAATGTAAGAATGAATTTTTTGCAATCAGTACCTGTTTTGTCTGTCTCTACCCCATCTCGGACCGTCATCTTGGATACTTTCGCTCCTGTTTCACTACCTGCGCTGGTAAAACTAGTGAATTCAGTGAAAGAATCCTCTTGTTTAGAACGAGATTTATTTGTTGTTTATGAAATTCATTCATGAATATTCATGTCCTAAAAGTGTAACAGTACGAGGTCACGGACCCAGTGCCTTGAGTTTATTATTATTGGATTTATCGTTGATAGTTCTTGATAGGGCTTCATGTTCCCATGTTCCATGTTTTAGTGCCGAGTCTGCATCATGGTGTTATTCTCAGTTTCCTGTTTTACTTTGGTAATCCTTGTCCCATGTTTCTGGTTTCAGCGTTGCTTCCCCGTCTTTCATCGTCCCTGCATTGTCCCAGCTGTGTCTCCCTCCTGTCTCGCATTCCCTTATTACGCCAGTATGTATTTAAGCCCTGTGTTTTTCCCTGCCCTTTGTCACGTCCTCTGCGTTAGGAAACATCCCTCGTCCTATGTCGTCAGGTTATGACATGCCACACTGCTTAATTACATACAGGTACACATGACTACCAGTATAAGGACCTGAAGAATGAGACTATTTCCAGTCACAGAAAAATTACTTCAAGCAGACTAGATTAAAATCTAGCCTTAGTAAAAGGCAGTGTCAGAAAAACCACAATTAGAGATTATTGGGTTAAATGTTTAGGTAACAGCCATGATGCTGAATCTGTTGTGCAATTC